GGGAGATAAACATCTTGCAAATCAAGTCATGCGATAATCTCGCTGACCTATTTACTAAGTCCTTACCAACATGTTTCAAAATTTGTAAATAAGATTGGTATGCGACGACTTCAAAATTTGCAAGTATAAGGGGGAGACATCTCTTAGATGCTAACATGTACCGGTATCATATTATACTCTTTTCTTTAACAAGTTTTACTCACAATGTTTTTTGTTAAAGTTTTTAATGAGGTAATATTAACATAAGCATGTGTCATATTTTCTATTTTCCCCATTGGGGTTTTTGTGGGAAATATCAAAGACACATATTGCCCTCATAACCCATCCTTGGTTTTTCCCTGAAAAGGTTTTTCATGTGAGTTATCCAAGAGACAATACCAATAATATATCGTCATATTTTCTCCTATTTTTCCCACTGGATTTTTACAGGAGTTTTAGTGGCATATCACTTTATATTTCTCCTCATATTTTTCCTAAAAGGTTTCTGGGAGGAGTTAACTTTATATCGTATCTCTAATATTTTTCCCCACTAGGGTTTTTAATGGGATACCAATGACACAATGGTTTATTTAAACCACACAAACAAATATGCTATTTTCTCCATATTTTCCAATAAGGTTTAAAGGAGTTTTTATGGCATATCCATATATTCATCAGATTTTTTCCATAAGGTTTTTCAAGGAATTTTAGCTTACAACTACATTAATCTCAAGGAAGATTCGATCAAGGGGAGTGTTGTAAAACGACACCTATACGTGAACGGGCGACTACAGACGAACAAACATCTCTTCACGAGTGATCTCATCCACCAAGCACAGAATTAATGGATAGAATTAGACAGTTAGTTTTAGTCCCAAATGACATATCTTTTGGAAATAGTCGTGTCCCTTCGTGACACCCTTCACTTATATAAATATATTTTAAAGATCAATGAAAGTAACCGTTCTTCCAAATCTTATTCATTTACGTTCACTTCTAACAGTTTTAAAGACGGTGCTTCAATTGATGTAGTGGGGAGGCCAATTTTAGTTGAGATTAGTCCTTTGTTAAATACAAATACATTTCTCGCGGTCATATTTTAATGACGGTGCTTCAACAAAAGAAAGGGCGATTTTTAGAATATTATTAAAAGAGAAAAAAAGGGACTCGTCAATACAAGGTATACGATTAAAGAAGAAAAAGGGACCTTCGGTAAAGGTTAGAATAGGATTAATAAAGTATTTAATTCAAAAGTGTTCGATAGTACTTATAAAGGTATTGGAACGGCGCATTCTTCTTCCGTCAAAAGATTTGACAATAACGATCGGACAATCAAATACAGTGGAACCACTTCTGTTCCCGCCACCAAGCGTCTGCGACATCCGACTAGATCAAGCCAAGCATGAAGATTTTTTGATATCCATCTGTCCTGGATATTTCTTTATATCGATCTGTCTCGGCTTTAAACCCTATTTAGATTAGATAATCTGTATATGAATCTGCGCATTTGATTTACCATATTCGAATTTGAATACTCAAAGTTAGATTTCTGATACATGTATATGATGTAAATATCAACATCCGACGCATCCGTCACATAAATATCAATATCCAAGTCACTATCCATATTCGACTCTGAATACTAGAAAGAAAGGACTACCGTATTCGGTATTCATAATATATGTTCATATTTGATCTAGTTTCACCCTATCCTCGTCTCTCCTGCCTCTCCCCTCCACCGCCTCCTTAGTTGTACCACTGGACCTTTGCCTACTTGCGCTCCCTCCTCCGTGTCCTTTCCCACCACGCCATGTCCCCTATCCACCCATGCCTCACGCTCATCTACTCAACCTCATGCAGAGACATAGTCAAAAATGCAATTTTTATTTTTTTAGGGAAGGGACAACAAAATAAATTTCTTCAAAGTTAGGTCAAAATTAAAACAATTTGAATATAAATTGTAGGGGGCTAGGAGAATCTTGCACCTCGCACCTATCTTCGCCACTAGCCCCATGCTCTTCCTAGCCACGGATCACTCCTCTTGTCCCTTCACACTCTCCACTGTTGCTACACTTGATGCCCCAAACTCCTCCATCGGGGCGCTCTCCACCGTCGCTATGTTTGATTCCCCCAAACTCCTCCACCGGGGCCAGATCGCAACTCCATGCACTATTCATGAGGAATGCTCCGGACCCCAAACCAAGCACCACCACCATTTCGTTACAACCGCGCTACTCCCTCTGACCAGTTGTACACGCCCTGCCCAAATCTCGCACGGAGGGTACTCAATGAATTGTCGCAGCGACAAGTGATCCAATATGACCTGGTCATTGGGTCGTATGTGCACGCTACAGTTGAATCTTGCCCACAACACGATGTAACCTTGTGGGCATGTGCCAGTACTATGATTGCCTTAAAGCGCAGATATCTTTGTCCCCAAGAATGTGATGCACCATGTGATGCTTAGGTGTAAGGTAAAACACAAGTAGGAGATCATGAAGAAATCATATGAATTGCAACCTCAGATGAAGAATTTGATTTGTTCACCATCTATATCATATCTGCTCCCCCTTTGGGGCTATGGCTTCTTTTGCTACTAGGAAAGGTATAGCAAAGTGGTTAGTTAACTACTAACCACAACCTGAGAACATCATACAAAGGGAATGTTCCAAAGGGAGTTATAAACGGGAATAACTCTTTACCAAACACGCAACCGGTCGCACCTTAATCCCCCACCATCCTCGTGCATTCATCATTCTTCCATGCATGCCCCTTTTCTTCGCTGCCTCGCCCTTGCGCTTCTACCATCAGGGGCCGGCGGCTCCCGCCGCCTCACCGCCCCTCCCGCCTGCTGCCTCGACCCTACATTCCCTTAATCAAAGACCCCCATCATTCTTCCATGCATGCCCCTTTTCTTCGCTGCCTCGCCCTTGCGCTTCTACCATCAGGGGCCGGCGGCTCCCGCCGCCTCACCGCCCCTCCCGCCTGCTGCCTCGACCCTGCATTCCCTTAATCAAAGACCCCCCCCCCCGGCCACCAGCCTTGCCCATCGCCCTCTTGCTACCCATAGCTCTGACAGCAACCTTGCCACCTTACCGCACCGCCGAGCTGTGACCCATCATTGTATCACAGTCACCGCCCCAAACCCTCTTCTAGAGTCGTCAGTGAGTGGAAGAACTCTAAACCTTCTTCTGTAGTGGTGGCGCATGGGAGTGCTGGGTCACGTTGTTGTGCAAACGTGTGATAAGCCCTCTTAGGTGGTTCGGGGACGAGGTGGGCCAACATTGTCTTGCTCATGGGTCACCAATGACCGTCGTGGCATACGCACCCGGGGGGGGGGCTGAAATGCTACGTGGACCGAACCGCGTCGGGGCTTCTCAGCAATGCCTTCATGGGGCCTGCACTGGTCAGCATGTACACCTAGTGCAGGTGCTTCGAGGAGCTAGTGCTGGTGTTGGACGGAGTACGTCTAGGGCATGAAAGTAAATTTTGTCCTCAAGGTCACATGCTCTTGTGATGTGGACCGTTCGATGTGTATCATGATACATGCATAGCAATAGAAAGATAACAGTATATTGTCTCTCCTGTTTGCATATATCATGATGTAAATCCAATGGTCCACGACACGTCGACACAAGAGCACGTGGCTTTGAGGAAAAAAAAAAGGCTGCGTTCGTGTGGGGCACCACGGTGATCGCGTTCGCAGAGCACGGGATGGGCGCAAGCCATCGCGCGCCTAGAGACGATGACACGGTAGGACGGGGTGCAGCCGGACGGCGTGGTGGTGCTCGGGCGGCGCTGTCCGCGTGCGTGCACGCTGGAGAAGTGAGGAGGGGCTGCGCCTTGCGGCTCCGTTATGCCATCATGCCGGGCCACGAGCACTACAACTGCACGATCGACATGCTCTGCCGGGTTGGGTGGCTGCCGGCTGGAGGATGCAGTGGAGCTCATCGTGACTATGCCGATGACCCCGCTTGTAGTGTGGGGATCCGTATCGCCGGCTGCCAGAGTTACGGCAACGTCGAGTTGGCAGAGGTGGCAGTGCACCAACTCTGAGAAGCATGGCGACACTGCCGACGAGGGCGTGTAGCCACGCGTGTACGTGCAGCTGTCCAAGTCCAGCATCTACCTTGATGCCAACTGCCCAACGGAAGGACGACGCGTAGGGTGCCGGGGAATCAAGACGGTCCCTGCCGCGCGCATTAGCGCCGTAGAGCCCGTAGAGGTGGACGGCGAGGTGAGCTCGTTCGTCGACGACGACCATGCACACCCCCGGCGTTTCGAGATACTGAAGGTGCTCCGGCCGCCAGCTGTAGATGGCGCAGAAACCAAAGGAAGAATTTATTTGCATGCTCGCAAGAATGTAACGAATGGCGCAGAAACCAAAGGAAGAATTTATTTGCATGCTCGCAAGAATGTAACGAAGAAATCCCTGCCTACTGCTACTATACATATGTGCCGTTTATATTTGAGAAATTTGGGCATTTCAATGTCATTCAGTCACTCGAAAGAACAAAAAGGCGTTAAGCATGCTATACAAGGTGAAAGGAAGAGATCATCTGACCAAAGCAGCACGGTTGCACGCTGACAAGTTCTAGGGCCTAGGGGGAGCACTAGATTATCAAATTTATCACCTAGGCCGACGCAACAGTTCCGCCGTTCAATGGGGCTTATATACAGACAACACGCTACATGAGGCGAACAGCAGATATCAACTCAACAATAACAGTGTTTACATGTGACAAAATTTTGCGCAGTGACAAGGTATGACAAACTGGCGCAGGGAATCCACAACATTACTCGAGAACAAAAGAACAATACACTATTGCCACAATCCCCGATTCTAAAGATGCCACAATCCCCGATTCTAAAGATTAGGTGCAGCTGCCACTTTGTGCTGCAAAATCTTGGAGCCCTTTCAACCGGTAACATGCTTGAGGACGGATGCTTGGCATTACTTGAGCAAAAACAAAAACAATGGTCTGCTTGTCACGGGCGCCAAAGGTTGATGTTAGCAAGAATCATGTGCCATATATATGTCTGTGAACCGGTGCGCTGAAGCCTTCAACGACATCCATCCATCGCTTCTCTAAAATTAAAATTGAACTGTCCAGTAGGTGCCCAACAAAGAGCACTGGTTCTTTAAACGCAAAGAAGTTGAAGTTGCTCCTTTTCTCTTGTTTAGACTCTTCATGATGGGCCTTGCGCTTCTGCCTTGTTTTTGTACTCTTTTTTACGTCCGACTTCTCTGCTGGTCCAACTGGTCCATTTAGCAAGTCAACATCCTCAACGACTGGCAATCCAAAATCAATGTAGCACATAGCCCTGAAAAGTGATGGGTTTAACATTTAGGGAACATAGTGTACAACAGATATCACGATTTCTTTAAACACACAAATCAGATATAGATACAGATGATCTTCCAGAGACAAGTTAATTTATAGGGGATTGTGTTGCTGTTGGGCTGGCCTTTTGGAATTTATGGGTTGGAAGTGTAGTGGCTGTGCTTTGCATGTAAACCCCTGGGTGCTTTGGTGGATTAGTGTTTTATCTCTGTACTGCTGGTAATGCCCACGATGGAACTGTGTAACATCATTGCTAAGTAATGAAATTCAGGGTGGTCCCTCTGTGCAAAAAAAAAAAAAAAAAAAAAAGATGATCTTCCACAGTAGGAAGCCCGGGCTAGGGATAGGGAGCTCAGAAGGGCAAGCATCATGATATTTAAGTTAGCAGAAACAAATATTTCAGAGGTTTACCTGGTACTGTATACAACAACTGACGATGAACTTTGCGGAGGAAATGATAGGCCAATGACCTCTCCAGGAAATTCCTGGAAACTTCTGGGCAACTGGTGCGTATATCGCTTGGACCATTCACCTAGTTGTTTTGCTTCCACATCAAATACATAAACCTCGTTTTTAGATGTAGTTACTACAAGTGTGTTGTTCTTGGGGCAAAAACCACCAGATGTAACAGAACCACCGTTCATTCGGGATACGAACCAGTGTTGCCTGCAAATATAGGGGGAAAATTTGTGATGACAGACTATCAGACATATAGCATTTACATCTACTGCAGTAACAAAAAAAAAGGGTGTTTGCAACACAAGTGGGAAAGTACCAAATTGGCGCATACCTTTGCACCTCAAGGTTAAATACATAAATATCCCCATAGCAGTTAACAGCAGCCAGCCATTGCCCATCTGCACTTAGGAACATCTTTGTTACAGGTGATTCTCTTGAGATTTTTGCTCCATCTGCCTTTCTTGTAGGGTGAAATACATTTGAAATTTCTCTTGCTGCAATGTCAATGATCTGAATGATGCAGAAGAAATAAGGAGTATGAAGTGTTAACAATAATAAGATGCAAAAGGAAGACAACTTAAAAAAAAAAGCAATGATCTTGGCAGCAATCATCTTGGCATGGTTACTTACCTCCTCATGATCTTATAATATGACTAAACCACAATGCAAACCAATATCCAGCCAAACACCTGGTAACTTACTACATAACTCAATGTTCAAAATACAAGTACTTTTAATCATGTAACTAACAGACATTGACCTACTAGTAGGTAGGATCACAAGGATAGTTTCATGTCTCAGTAGCTACATGTGCTGAACTGCTGATTTCAAATGTAAAGCAGTAAAGGCATGCAACATTTTTAAATTGAAATTGAATATATGGACACCCTGGCATGTCCCGCTTCCTCTAGCACGTACACTACACAGGTTCACATACAAGATCATATGATAGAAAAGCAAAAAAAAAAACATGGCAGGTAACTTACGTATATTTTTCCATTACGCCCAGCAAGTATCAAATTGGACGAGTCAACAGTAAACAGCATACTCTGTGAACAGGGCAATCCTTTTGGTAGCTCTAATTTGTCAAGGGTATACTTCTTTCCACCCTTGTGCCTTAGTGCAAAGAGGCAGGGTCTCACACCATCTGAATAGGCCAAAAGCGTTCCATTGGCAGAGGCAGCACTAGAAATGATTTTTCTGGACCCCTTGCTTTTCAAACGAGCAAGTTGTCGGACTGTAGCATCTCCTGTAGATGATGATGTACTTGGAGTCATCAACTTGTTCTGAACTGTCACAAGTAAAACATCCAACCAGTTTGGAGACTGGACAAGCATTACAGAATCTCCATTGACTGTGCTATCCCTAGCCAACTTTATCAAAGGGCGTTGAGGTGCAGGGCAGAAATTATGAGGTGCAAACTGAGTAAACTCTCTTGCCGAATATGCAAACAGCTTGGTGTCATCACCACCAGATATAAGCATAGGAACACCAAGATGAGCCCATTTGTGATAACTGAATTCATGTTTTTCACGCCGCCGAATCTTCACCGCCTTTTCCTCAGGTAATGTATCTACAGGACAAAAGAACAGCTAAATCTGTGTAAGCACCAGTACAGGAAGATCAAATAAATGCAAGCAACTAAAATATTGGCATACCTTCTCTACAGATAGGTACAGCCATGGTCAATGCCCTTACATCATGAGTGTGAGCTCTCACATATCCCACATAGACCCATTTGTGAACTTGCTCTTTGACCATATTTTTAGTAGCATCAAATTCATCCTTTGACATTTTGTACAAAATTACCTAGATCATCAGCCAGAAAGTACCATAGTTAAACGTGAAGTCATTGACAAATCAATAAACTAAGGAATGGAATTTCAAATCAAATTAACTTAAAAACAAAGCAGTGCATAGAAAGGTACAGGTTGCACAAGATTAGTTAATCAACCTAATAGCTGTTTTAGTAATGCTACAAACCTGCCCATCAGACCCTGCAGAAAATACCCTGTTCTCACTGGGCACAGTTGTTAGTGCATTCACGTCGCCTTTATGATAAGAGTGAGCTTGTAGAAGTGTTCCATGGCGGCTATCCCAAAACTGTACACTCCCTGTACTATCTCCACTAACAATAGTTCCACACCTAGACAGCAGCAACAATAGTGAGCTCTATAAAATAAAGGGGGGCAAAAGGAAGTTCAGAGAAGACAGAAATATTTACTCTATCTCACCTCAGAAACAATAGTGTCCAGATGCAAAGGTCAGGTGAGCTACCAGCCCCTCCCAATCCAGCAGTAATACGATACATTTCATGGAAAGATGTTGAATCCCAGCATCTGATTAAACTGCCAATAGCGGGAAAAGAAAATACCAAAAATTGAAATCATGAGAATGCCAGCCCACACCACTAGAAATTACTCCCTCTGTCCACGTATAGTAGGCGTAACCATTTTTTTTTTGTGTGTCCACGTATACAGGGCGCTCAGCTCTTCGCTGCGCGTGCGCTGCTCAGCTCTGTGTGAAGCATTTATCGCTGGCGGCCGAACTCCTCGAACTGCTCGTGTTCTGTTAAACTATACGTTACTCTCTCATGGCGGGAGCTGAGTATGGGCCTGTATGCATCTCTTCCTTGCATAAGCACTGCCAAAATATTTTCCATGCCACCAAGAGGAAAAAATAGTTTGGCCGGAGAGAATTTTACCAAGAAAAAGTAGCGCGTCAGTTAGTGGGGAGTTGATGGCTGCATGGCACGCGCGGCAGTTAGGTGGGAGAAGATTTGCATGCACATGCCTGGAAGCCAGAAGGGAATTTGCATGCGCGCTCTCCCACGGCGCGTGACGGAGAAGCGTGAAACATGTTATTCGGAGGCGGAAACCGAACAGACTCTCCTAGAAACGTGCAGTAATTAACCTGCTGCTTGGTCTTAGCGTTTTTTGAGTTGCGCCTACTATACATGAACGGAGGGAGTATGATAAATAATTACAGAAACAAGGCAAATGTGAAACAGACTATTTGTATACGTAGGAAAGAATATGCAGTAAATAACAGAAGCCTGCTTAGACCAGTAAGGAAATATAAACATACCCATCACTGCTGCCAGAAAATACAAATTTGGCATTACTACTCCACGTCACGCTCAGAGTCCGCCCTGTAAGGATGCACAAACATAACTGCCAGAGTTGAATTTATTGCCAAAATAACGGAAAACAGAATTTATACAGAACCTACCGCTCACTCTTGGAAGAGACCTATAGTAAGTCAATGCACCTGATTCAGGCACGTTATACAATCGTACAGAACCATCATCACACGCAAGAGCCAGTCGCTGGAAATCATTCACATGATATGAAGATCTCGTGTTGGTAGAACCATCTTCATCCTCAGAGTTGTCACCATCATCAATGTTACTTAAGTCAGAATCACTGGAGTCATTTTGGTTTGGATGGCCATCGACAGCAAACTCTGAAGTATTATTTTCAGTATTTTTAGCATCATCTGAAGGCTCGATGGCCATTTGCCAGATTGGAACTCCAACAGTATCTAGAACAGTCTACAAAACAGAACAACAAACTAACTATAATTATATCCATGAACCTAAAACGAATATTACATTGCAACGAGAAAAGATATAAGGAGACTCATGAAGATCACATGGTGAAACTTAATATGAAATCTGAGTGGCATCCCTAGTGATGCAATACACCCGATAGGTTAAGGCCTATTATTTCACTACCCAAACATACCTACAACCTGCTCATACACCAATTCCCTATCCCACTATCCCAGCATCCAACAGTTCAGAGTTGCCAATTCCACGAGAAAATCGAATGTAAGCATGCGAAGAGAGAGACCTTTTGTTGAAGGTGGAAGAGATCCCATTCCGACACCGACCCATCAACGCTGGACGAGAGCAGCCGGCCGGTCGTTCCATCTCCTCTCCGCCCCCACACCAGTGATGTGACCCTCGACTCGGCGTTCCCCTGTATAGTCTGCACCCAAGCAAACCCCCAATCAGGTCAGAGACAATCCTCAGACTGCTCGCAGGACACGGCAGGGCTATGGGGAGGGGAGCTGGGAGCGTACGAGCTGGTTGTGCCAGCCGACGGAGCCCGGGGAGACGAGCCAGAGCTCGAGTGAGCCGTCTTCACGCGCAGCGGCGACCTGGGAGGCGCAAGGAGAGGCGGCGAGCGCGACGATGGGGGAGGGGGACCACTCGACCGCGCCGCCAGTGCAGCGGTGGACGCGGAGCTTGTCCATGGGCCAGCGCCCCGATGCGGCGGCGCTGGCGATCCTGGTATTCTAGAAGGTACGGGAAGGGCGACCTTGAGGTCGAGGACTTCGCGATGGTGCAGGAGTGGGGGGTGTGGAGGCCGCAGGCGGCGCAGGGGGAGAGAGTGGGAGGCGCTCGAGAGAGGCGGCTCACCGCTCGTTAGGGTTTCGAGGGAGAGGAAGGTCAAGTAGGGCTGGTTGGTTTGGTCGACGACAGCGTGCGTGCGGGCTACGTGACCTGAGAAAGCGGCGGGCCTGTTCGAGGCAACGATTTGGCCCAATGGGCTTGAATGGTTTAATCTAAAAGAAAAAAAACCACATTATCACCCTTAACTTTTGCGAAAGTCTGTTTTTCCTCTCTAAACTCTAAAACCGGTTAAACCACCTCCCTAAACTTTTAAAACTGTTCGTTTTACCTCCCTAGCCGGTTATAAGCGGTTTTCAAAGGTAGTTTTGTCTTTTTCTTTTTTATTTATTTTGTCTGAATATTTAAAAAATCATAGTAAATCATAAAATGGAAAATCCAATTTTGCTGGACTCCACATGAGTAGATCTACACAGTGAACATATAATATGGTATGCTTCAGTATAAATTTCTTCTGTGAACACATAATTATTGTATGCTTGAACTGTAGTAAAAATTTGACTCATTGGATTATTTATAACTTAGTTATAGATTTATAAATACTTTTTAACACAATAATTAGCCTGCCGTAAAAATAAATCTATAACTAAGTTATATATGATTCAACGAGTATAAAATTTTAAGGCATAATTAGGTACTAGACAGTAAGAAAAGGTGGCCTTTGCCACAACACACTAAAAAACATGTCTTTGCCCAAACACACTAAAACTCTATGGCAATTGGGTGCTAGGCACTATAACACATATTATAACATATCCTCATCAAACAGGTATCAATACATTTATAAAAGACAAGTATACCCCTGCCCCTTCAAATGAACATTTCAGATAGATAAAAGGACATGATGATAACATGTTCTTCACCATGTTCTTCACCATTCAGCAAGCAGTACACAAATACAAATAGCAGGTTCAGCCACATTTGGCTACAGTATAGACCCTAATGACATGGTTTAGCAAAGGGGAATGATTTAGTAGGTTTAGCAAAAGAAAATCATAGATTCGAGCCACATTTGGCTATCTTGATGCTACCAAAACCATACATGCTACTGATCCGGCACTCCCTACTCTTTCTCAGACCTGACAACCTTCAACTTCTTTGCCTTTCCCTTCTCCATGAAGGCTACTGGAGATAGTGCTTCACATGCAACAGGCTCTATGGAGCCTTCAAATTCCAGCAATCTTTTTCGGCTGAAATGGATATAGAAGCATGTCAATAATTATTTTAAAGAAAGATAACAACCAAGAAAACATAATTGGAGGACTTATACCTCCTTGTCATAGGGCTAGGTGTTTGCACAAGAGTGATAGCTCTAGTTGGTGTAGATGGATTTTGCTGCAGCAACCTCCTTGACATACTAAATGGAGAAAAAAGTCAGATTCAGCATGTATACACCACCTGCACCGTTCAGCTTTGCAATAGCCTCTATACCTTGTTGCCTCAGAATAGGGAGCTGCAATTTCATATTCACCTTTTATTGCATATTGCCTAATAGCTTTCTTGAAAGTATCACCATCCCCAAAAGTTACATCAACTTCTATTTTCGGATTCTCCAAGTCAGTTGCATGGATAATTGTCTTACAACCCCATGCATCCTCAACAACTAATTCATCCTCCAAACCAGCATAGTCTACATCACTATCTGGTTTAGGCTTTGATAAATCAAAAATTGGATCCTCATCATTTAGACCAACGTACTCTACGTCATCATCCACCCAAGCCACTTCAGTAATTTGCTGAATTGGTGGTTCTACACGAGATGAGTCAGTTTCAAGTTAAGGTTGTGCAATAGTTTGGTTGACTGGGGCATCAGTGCTTCCCTGCAAAACACAAGGCATGCTCTCCAGCCGGCCAATATCATGTATGTGATCCTCGTCGTCTTTTCTTATAACACGCACTTGCACGGAAAGCCTCCTTATATCCAATACATATCAATTGCATGAAGCAATTTCTGGTCAGAATCAATCTCTCTATACCTACGACTCATATTATCCCAATAGGTGACACGCAGTTTTTGTTTTGAGCCTAGCTTAATTTCTGTATCAAATTCAAAAAGCAAATCATTTCAGTTTGTGCTATCCCTGTCTAAAATCTTTAGAATGTTACATGCCTTGCAATATTCGCAACAATCATCATCAGTTAATTTGACAAAAGCACCTACTCGAACAGCAAGCTTGTAGGATGAATTGGGATCCATCCTACATATACAGGGGCACAAAGATGAATGGGATGAACAAGGGTACGATTTACTTTGCAAAATCGAGCCTACAGTTAGCCTAACCCTAGGGGAAAATCGCAAGAATCTTACCTGTCGGGAACCCATGACAGATCGGCGTGGTTCTCTAGGAAAATGTCGCTGAAGAATTATGGAGGAGGTTCCTCCATCTCTTGCCACGAGCGAGCGCCGCTGCCGTGACCGTCGCCCAGGAGGGAACAGGCTCGGCCTCGGGGGGCTGGCGAAGGGCGCGGTCGTGTGCCTAGAGCAGGGCGGGGCAGCAGCAGGAGACGGCCAGACAGAGGGAGCTGGTGAGCGTGTCTCGGGCGTAGCAGGAGCGGCACAGCGAGGAAGTCCCGATCCGTTTTGGCCATCCTGTTCGGCAGCAGGGGAAACAAGAGAATAGGCAGGAATAATTTCATCTTTTTGCGTACCTTTCTATTAAAAACGATTATAATAAGAGGTGTAGTGTCCAGGACCCAATTACCAAAGAGTTTTAGTGTGTTTGGACAAAGACAAGTTTTTTCTATGCATTGCAGCAAAGGCTATCTTTTTTTAGTGTCTAGGACCTAATTTTGCCAAATTTTAACTACAGTTCAATCATACAGTAATTAGCCTGCCATAAAAATTTCACCACAATTGGATCATAGAAACTGCAACTATGAATTAATTATAGAAAAGCATAGATCTAAATCTACAGTAAAAAATCTACTAAAGCATACCATATTATATATTCGCTGTGTACATCTACTCATGTGGAGTCCAACAAAATTAGATTTTCTATTTTATGATTTTTCTTTGATTCACTATAATTTTTCAAAGATTTAGCCAAAATAAATAAAAAAGAAAAAGGCAAAATCGTCTTTGAAAACTGCTTATAACCGGTTAGGGAGATAAAACGAATGGCTTTAAAAGTTCAAGGAGGTGGTTTACCCGGTTTTAGAGTTTAGAGAGAAAACGTAGACTTTCGCAAAAATTGAGGAAGATAATGTGGACTTTTTCCAATCTAAAAGGGATAAATCAATGTAGAGAAACGTGGATGCTCCCCAGTGCTAATCGATGTATATAAAAATTACAATTTGAGACCTTTGTGTACTCCAAAAAACATGTCTTGCTTTTCAAAGAAAATTTCCTTAAGTTTGATAGAACATATTCAAAAAATTACTAATATTCATGATGCATAATAAGTATATTATTTGATTAGTCGTGAAATATATTTTCATAATAAACTTATTTGGAGATACAGATATTGCGAGACATGCAATTTTTTACGATGGGAGTACTTTCTAAGTGAAACCACCAGAGCATTCTTCAACTTGTTATTAGATCAACTCCAGTTATAGTCCTAAATCAACGCCCCTACTCTGCTACTTTTGGGGTGTCATCTCTAAAAACGATTCATGCCCCAAACCAGGGCATTCCATTGGGCCATGTCGCCTCCTCCTTCCTCAAATGTCTGATTTCAAACGAACGACCGTCGAGCGTTTCAATCATGGCTTGTTCTAGAGTCTGTTTCCAAAGGCTTCGTGAAGTCTCGGTCAGAAGAGACAGCTTTTTTTAGGCTTTTCCCTGTGTGCCATTATGACAGATGCTCCATTCATACATGCCACCAAAAAGTTCACACGAACCCTGATGCCACGACGCTAAACTCTTTTGTCCAACACGCCATTCCATCTCCATTCTGTTTGGTTTTGACCGTTTGGTAGTTCTTACATGTGGGACCGAGCAGGAAAAATATCCATGTTGTCCTTTCAGTCACGGGCATATGTGGAGGCTGTGTTGACCGATATTGACCGACATCTCCCTCAGTCTCTCAGTCACTCTTCTCGCTCGACTCCCTCAGTTCCCTAACCCTAGCGGCAGAGAAACCCTAGCGACGGTGGATCCGGCGGCGGAGGCTTTAGTGGCGGCTAGGAGAGAAGACGACAAATCCCCCGTGCTTGTGGTGGCGCATGGGGTAGTGGAGCGTGGATTCGACCATGGATCCAGAGGATAGGCGTGGCATGGCGGCGAACAAGGGCGTGGCGAGCGACCGAATTGGCTTCCGGACGAGTGAGTTCACTGCTTCCCCCCTTGGTTTCGTGGTGCCCCGTGTTTGTAGTGTTGATTGCGTGCTCCTTGTTCATCTATAGGATGGACGCAGAAAGTAGCTACAACTTAGAAATCCAGATTGTTGCTCCCAGTTCTCGTGCGCGATGGTTTTTGTTGAACAAAGTCGTGGATGATGATCGCACTAACTTCACAGACTTGGTTGCTGAAGTTGTCGACAAGTATCCTCATAACTACGGTGATAGTGAGATTGTTTTATTTCTGCATGGATAGTAAAGTGAACATCCAAGTCTGCACTGACCAAGATTTGGTTGAAATGTTTGCAAAACATAAGGCTTTCAAATGTTGCTTGTTGATGGTTGCATATCATGGCCCAAATAGTGAGCCCCCTGTGATTCCTGATTGGGGTTCTGGTAGCACTGTGAACTCTGTTGAACCCCCATTCATCCCTTCAATTGCTTGTCAAAGCTTAGCAGAACCAAGCCATGCCACACACACTCAATCTGCTGAACCTGAATATCTGGCTAACCCAAACCCAATGAATGAGCATGTGGGTGTTGATGAGGAAGGGTTGTATAT